GTTTAGCCAGCAATTAACCAAAGACCTCTAGGGCAAAAAATTACTAACAAGAAAACAGTATATTGAGATGCTCAACCCATATCGAGGTAACAGTATACTGAGGTATATCGGGTAGCATACTTTGTCTAAAGGGTAGAGAAAAAGTCTGCACAGTCAATGCTAATGCATCATCTTTCGTACTTGCTTTTGACGTCACGAGATGGTTCATATATCCAATTCGTATACTACAACGTGATTTATTCAACCTTGGGTTTAAACAGCAATAGCACTGTCAAGGTCATATGATTCAAGTAGTCATTTTACAAGGATGGGATTTTTAGGCAGACAGTGGAGCCTCCATGTAACGATTACGGATACGGTTCTGACCATTGTAATTGTCCGTTTCAAAGAGGTTTCCCTTGGATAGAGGTTCATTTTTATTCTTCTCCATAGCCCTAAAGAGCCATTATATATTTAAAGACAATAGTTGTACCATCAACAGGGATATATTTTTCATATTCTTGTTGAAATACGAGCCTTGCCTCCTCGAACCTTGGTACAACCACGGATTTCCTAAAAACATTTGTATCTCAGATGACCATTGATTTGTATCTAAAACTGAAATGATATCTTCAATGGCAAGAAGTTCATGATATCACGTACGTAATTTCATGAACAGAATAACAAGAAATCTGTTTTATTTCCAGGGTGTATTGATGTTTATGAGCCTCAAACATTTAGTATGATAAACACATTATATCTCAAGTATGGGTGCCATGTGTATATAATGTGGTGGAATTACGATTTTACCCGGACAAAAATAATAAAAAGCTGTAATTTGGCACATAGGTTCCATACGATACTGGGAATAACCAGAAAAAAGCCCCATCAATTGGACATTGGGAATTCCTTATTTGGGCAAATCCCATATGGCACACTGATCAGCAGGGGTTCAAATTTTGATGTCGCTAAAACCACATTATATGTACATATTCTGAAAGACAGTTTCATGCTGAACATCTTTTTTTCAACATACACGCCCTTACATTGTGGAAATAAGTACTTTCTGGTCAAAAATAGCAGATAGGGGGCAACTGGGCAATAGAATGTATAAAGTGGTGGCGCCAGGGGAGGGCTAGGGCGCTACAGTCCCTCCATCGGAAGCATCTAGCCCCCCTATCGGAAGACAATTTTAGGTTATTGTCGGAGCAAATTTGACAAAATAACGTACGAAAACTGCATATTATAGTCAATTTAGCCCCCTTGTGGGAAGCTCCAACCCCTCTGTCGGAAGATTTCTGGCGCCATTCGGTCGCGAGTTACTTTGTTTTAAATATTTAGATATTTCTTTAGATTTGACCGGAATTTGCTGCTGCAGTGAAAAAATTTCACTTGAGTCAGCCTGGGCTGAGTGGGCCCGGGTTGAGTCAGCCAGGGCTGAGTGGGCCCGGGTTGAGTCAGCCAGGGCTGAGTGGGCCCGGGTTGAATCAGCCCTGGCTGAGTGGGCCCGGGTTGAATCAGCCCTGGCTGAGTGGGCCCGGGTTGAGTCAGCCCGGGCTGAGTTACCCAGTTTAAGTCAGCCCGGGCTGAGTGGGTATTATCATACTTTATCTTATTCACACACTTAATGATTTTGCATCGATAGAATTTGCGATATAAAATGAAAATTTTCAGCAAGAGGATCAGCCATTTTTTCCGTGCGCTTTTCAATATTCACTCGTCCCACTTTGTTTCTGCCCAATCACCCTGAATATGCATATTCTAAGGGTACGTATGTTAAATAAAAGTTATTCAGCATGAAATTATCTTTCAAAAGATGTACATACTATGTGGTTTTAGCAACATTAAAATTACAAACCACTACTGATCAGTACGCCATTTTGGTATTTGCCCAAATAAGGAATTCCCAATGTCCAATTGATGGGGCTTTTTTCTGGTCATTTCCAACTTAGTATAGAACATCTGTGCCAAATTACAGCTTTATATTATTTTTATCCAGGTTAGACCGTTTTTATATCTAATTCCACTACACTAGTAAGCAAAGCGTTTCAGAAATAGGGTGTGGATTAACATTCCAGATCTTGACTGTTAGCACATCCCTATCCACATCTTCGTGATTCCTCTTCTCTAGGCATTCAGGAGAGTATTTCTTATTCAGTGTTGTTTTTATTAAAGATTTTTCATTTGCAATCTAAGACTGGCTCGGCCTCCCAAGAAGTTCCTTTTCCGTACACCGAAAATTGACACAACGAACAGATGTGGCAAGAATAGAATGGTGCATTTCAAAGCCTACTTGATTAAATTATGTCCTCATTTTACATCTTTTTATCTTGTTGTCTCTTGATGAAAAATCGAATGCATTCAAGATAGAGACTAAAGTATCAAGAATAATTAATGCAGTAATAAACTTGACCTGAGATATCTTTTTGACACTGTTGGAAGCTAGAAAAAGCGACTGTTGGAGTATAATTTCTCTATTTTAAGGCGTTGATTAAACACAACGATAGTAAGGGAAATACGATTACATCAGGTAGCGCGGTTAGAAGAGGCGAGGCTTACGAAGATCTTCTGAAAGGGAACTGTATAGGAAGAAAGGAAACCTTTATGGCTTTAGTGTCTCTTCACGTGACTGAACCATCTGAGGGTCGTGACAAAAAGCCCAATTTTTTTTATCTTAGAAGGCTTCTTGGAAAGGAGCCTTGCAGAAGTCTGATTCTCCAAGAAACATTTTCATTACTTTTTATAGTTATTGTCTATTGCAGAAACTCTGATTATTTAGTTCGTTGGAAACTTTTTGACCTTTTCCCTGAAAAACAACAGATGCCCTGTATAGATTCATATTGTTCAGATGGATAGCGAGGTAGTATATAATGTAGTTTGATCAGCTGGAGACATTTATACAGTTGTGTGGTTTTGTGGGATATTGCCCCCCAACCCCACCCCATGATAATTCCCTATTTGTAAATTTTGCATATCATAAGCTTTATCATTGTGTTTACAGTGGAACCCTGCTATTGCAAATTCTGTGGAAACAAATAGTTTGCAATTTCAGAACTTTCAGGAAGGCAAATCTTTTGATGAATTCTTTGTAAAATAGGTCAACATGCCTCTTGGACCTTTTTTTCTACCAAGGCCTTATTGACCCATTGATTTTTCACGTTAATCTGTTAATACAATTACAATATTTGTGCTCTAATAGTTGACCATCAGAAAGTTAACGTTGTGAATTGTGAAAACGATAACAAAATCGTCATGACATGGGGACCAAAAGTTTGGTAAACCGAATGCTCGTTCGTTAAACCAATAGTTCATCTATGGAGTGTTTGCAAAAGAATTTATAGGTCAGAATCCATCGAGAAATTCGTATTCAGCGGGGTTGGCAATAGCAGGATTCCCCTTGAGTGTAAAAAGCAATGGGCCCCATTGTTTGACTCCTATCTACGACCGCAACCAGTCTTTGGAAGAAGAGCAATGGTCTTGCATTGAGTGGCGCACGAGAAGCTCCATGCGTCTAGACGTTTCAAGAGCAGTGTAATCTTACGTTTAGAAAGAGCTTAAATGTTTCATCCTACTGCCATTCAACGTATGCTTTTTGGAGTTGGCACATAAATTTTTAAGGCAAAGTACTCTCCACAAAGACATGCGGCCTTTTAGCCACCTAATGTGGTTATGCTACTCATGACCTTAAACAAGATATTGAAAATCGATGTGGTCTCCTTATAAAAGTTAAAGAAATACGTATGGTTTTTCAAAGAAGCAAATTTATGAGGACAAGATTTAGTAAGCCATCTCGTTGATTGTCGATTGAAGGCTCATTTACAAAATTGATAAACCTCTAGATCAAAAACAACTTTTCACACTGCTTGTTATTTTGAATATCAATTTAATTACCATTACTTGTTTTTCGAAACTCTTTTAGTCTTCTAGGGTGTTATAGTAGACCTTAGCGTTAACATATCGCGTGAAACACTGTTTCATGTTGGGATGTAGTGCCTTGGATATCGTATATCAACTCCGATCCGATCTGAACAGACGTTTAAACGAGATTGAATTAGTTTTGGTCTTTTTCAGATTATCGTTGATAAATTCTTAAAAGCTAAAAGACGCTTTGAAGGTGACAGAAATATTACTTGTATTTCCTAGAAATGTAGTCTTGCAACCCTTCAAGTAAGTGTAAATCATTCAAAACCAAAACTTTCAGGAAAGTCGCTTTTGCTATCAGTAAACAAAGACGGTGCCCTGCTGCTATAAAGTGCACATTTGCAGCAATTATAGCTCATGACAATTATTCACGTTAGTGTATGGTAATGGCAGGGCCATGGCTATAGGAGGAAAGGGAATAGAGGCCATCCATAACGTTTTTAAGCTACTTTGGAAAATCTTCCAATGGTGAGGGAAATCATTAGTTAGTCCGTAAAAGTGCCTGAAAATACTTTAGTAAGGCATAAAACTGTGTTATTCTAGTTCCTTGCCAGTATATTTGTCTTTTAATGAACGTGTGAATGGTGTTGGTATCAACGCTTTGTTCTCCTCTCTACCGTACGAGTGTATCGAATTAAAGCAGCAACAACAACAAACAGAAATCCATGGAATAGCCCTCTGTGTGCATCAGACAGTGGTCTATTATACCGCGCACATCCAAATGCCTCTTTTTGAATTCCTGTTAGGAAATGTGATAAGCTGCCGCTTTTTGCACCCGATTTCGCTCAGAGAACGAACGAGGGGAGGAGCCTTAATTGACTTAACTGAATTGCTGTCGATTCATACTGAAAGGAGTTTGACCGAATGGTTTTCGAAGATAGTTGGAAGTTGGAGTAGGGTGTCAAAAGCCTGAAGTGAGAAGAGCGCACATTATTACTACATAAAGACGCTCTTCAGATGTACGCGGAAATTTCGCCGCTTCATACGTCGCAACAGCTATTGGTTTGATGCCTAGTCAAATAATTAATTTCTGAAGATTGCGCCATTTAAGAGGGTATGTTTCTAATTAGGTGACATTAAATATTTAGAAGTTAATAAATTCGAGGTGATGGACGTTTTCAGCGAAGTGTTCTATAAAACCTAGAAACACGCCGCGATTATTCTACAAATAGCAACGTTTCACAAGGGGCTTAGAGCCTCTCGCAAACATGGCTGCCGTATTTGGCCTTGCAGTCAGAAACCATTCCTCTTCTTGCTTATCAATCTTCGGCAAATACAGATGTTGTTACTTAATTTCACAGGAGATAAGGAGTCGCCGCAAGCTGTTTTATGCAATTTGGATTTGCATATTACTCAGCAAACAAATTCTACCCTTACAAAAACCGAAGAGGGGTTCGACAGTTTGGATCAGCAGAGACAAAAGTGCCTCAAGTATCGCAAGTGAGTGATCTCAGGTTTATTGCTTATGGAAAATGCCAGTTACTTAAGAACTATCAACGAGTTAAAAATGCAAATTTCAAGAATCATTCCAGATTACGGAATGAAAAGTAACTTAAATAAGGATTGCATGGTGTCATGCTAGTGCTCTGATTGCGTCCAGCTATACTTACACTCTATTTAGTTACACCAGAATATCTCCAAAGAGTTGACCTTCACTTTGTAAAGCAAAGTTTGAGAATGGCTGCAGAAATTACCTGCTATTATCTCTGTTTCATCAGCAATCTGCTTTTAAACTGCATAATTTGAAGTATTTCAAGTCTCCTTTGGAGGGTTGGGAAGCAAAAGTTTCTGCAAAGTAGGTAACTTTCTACTCACAATAAGGATGAATCGAAGTGGTAAAAATGATATTTTATTTCGTTTCTTGTTAGTGTCAATTGGTATAAATCACTGAATCATCTGTTTGTCTCTAATAAATACGTACAATTCCGTTGCGTGAATGTCACAGAACTGATGTGATGTTTCTGTGTCTTTGTATATTAACTACCCTGGAAAAAAACTATTAAGAGATATCAGAGCTGTAAGCGACATAACTACATAAAATTGTTCTGGCAGAGAGACCAAAGATTAGACATCAAACTAATGAAAGATAAGTGTATGCTCTATCCTTCGTCTTACATTGAGATGTTATACATTTGTGCATGTCATCCGTAAAGCAATTTGCATTACCATCTAATTTTTACGGAATCCGTATTACTTTTCGAAACTGAAAAGAAGTATTTTGAAATTAATTTATGTTAGACCTATAGCAAGTTTGCAGGATTTCAGTTCGTGGCTTTTCAGGAAGCATATCCACCTATTTTTTTCAAGAAACGTTGAAATTTTATTAGTGTTTGAGAGAGATCGAGTGAAACTTCTTTGCAGTTTTGCCTAGTTTGATAGAAGTCTTTGAGATTTTTTCATCTAAGATTCTTGACACTCTGCACCGTTACTTGCTGGTACAAATATATATTCAAATGCACCAAGGCCTTTCTAGACCTAAAGTCAAAGAATTCTAATGGCCGAGATATCCACATTCAACTATGAAGTCTAGCAGGGTAAAAAATCTCAAATTTTCTTTCAATGGTCTAAGGTCAATGGAGAACAGGTATTTCAATCTAAGCGAAATCTCTCTTGATGCTTGCAAAATCGGTAAGGGAGGCTTACAGCCGACCATTTGAAAATTCCTGGAAAATGCTGCACAACCAGTTGCTAAACAAACATTAGTAGATAGGTCCTTTTTAACTATACCGCTTATTCAAAAACTTCTTATACAACATAAGTCTTAGTGCCTAATTCAAAAAGCTGCTTTCTTTTGCCATTCGATTTTCAGAACCTTTCATACCATTTTGATGCTTCCCAGTTCCCCTTCAAATCGAGTGGTAGCCCAACACAGGGTGGCGAAGAGCCTTCGCCAAAGTATTAAGAATTTGGATAGCTTACTTGTCGAGAGAAAAAGTGTGGACAAGTCTTAAATTTATTTTTCTTTAAGACTGGGACCTTTGAAGAAACGAATAATTCCAATTTCTGTTATTTGTGAAAAGGTCAAAGACTCTATAACACATTTCGGAAAATGGCACCTTATCATGGTCTAAATTTGGAAGGAAATACTTGAGAATAACTGGAGAAACCATCCTCAGCTGTCCATCCTGAACCACAGATCAAGAAATGTACATACCTACTATTGTGCTGTTGTAACCAAGAATGTAGAGGCTACCAGAAACGAAAAATTTCGATTAGATGAAGAAAGAAAACATGGGCTAGTTTTTAACAGTTTGGTTCACAATAAAAAAAAAACAAACAAAACCTTGTCGTAAGCTGACCGTTGGATATTTTCTTCAAAAGGATTACTGTATTTAAACAGTTGTTGATGACTCTCGGCGCAGGCACCGTGCACCAGTCTGGAAGTGGGTTGGCGTGACCGATAGGCCCTTTAGAACCCCGGAAAATGCCCCTCATGGAAAATACTTGCTTCTTTCCACTTATTTTTTATAAACAGTCCGATTCAGAGAAGGTATCAGTTACTCTAAAAATAGATTTAGCACGATAAGATACTGAGAAAATGGACAAAAAAGGGTTCCCAGACAAGAAGAATTGCTACTTCTTAGGATCCGTTAGAGCAAACTTTCCAAGGTTGCGTTAGAGTAAACTTGCTAAACATTTTCTAACCTATTATTCTATTATTGCGAAAAAGTGGGGGAGGGGCTCTTGCTCCTGCTAGACTAATGGCTGCGCGGTGCCTGTCTCGGGGTCTCAGAATGTAAGCATACATTCCCCTCAACTGTAAGCACACGCTTACACATGACTTGACTCATCCAAACACTCGCTATTGAGCGAACGCACTTCTGAGCATGCGCAACCATTTAAGGCCGGTTTTCACTTGATTCGCTCTGGTCGCAAGACTGAGCGAGTGCACATTTGAGCATGCACAAATCGAACTTCCTCACTCGCTGCGAATGCGCGACCATTCGCTGAGTAGTTCAACTCAGTTCCGTTTCGCTGGTTGTTTTATTCGCTTTCGCCAAAGTCGCGCGACCAGGGCGAATCAAGTGGAAACCGGCCTGATAAGTTCAACTCACTTCATTCCATTACGTTAGCTGAAAATAACTTTTAATACAATAGTTCACAGAGGCCGCTGGTGAAATATGCCGAAATGCATTTTATAGATGACCTCGATATCAGTCTTATCCTGGTGAGAACCAGAGATAACAATTTTCTGTGATTTCTTCTCACAGTAGGCAGAAATTCGTTGCTGAAAGCCGTTGTCTCTCTCAAGTAACAACGATCTAAAGATCACTAAAGGAAACCGAACTTTTATCAAACTTTTTAAGCCATAAAGGAATAAAATATATTTGTTTCTAAGAGCTTGAGGTTTTAAAAATTCTTGAAGAGCAAACGGATTGCTGAAAATTAGCGAAGAATTTGATTGACATACCACTGTCCTTTGAAGAGATATTTGGTTTGATTCTCCTTTGGCAGCTACAAGTGTTGGACGCCTCTCTGTTGATCCTTATCTTCAGATTACGTTTCAGGAAAATTCTTGAATGATTTTGAGTCTTCTTCATCTCTAAAGGCAAACTCATTTTATCGGTCTAAACAAAATAGCACTTTATAGCTTTCTTTCAAATAACATGTTCAATATTTATACTAATTGTGCGCTAGGCTGATGCATTATGCTGAAGTTACAAATAAGAAAGACATGCAGAAATCTCATCCCAAATAGCCTAAAGATATTCGCTTAATCATCCCTTTATCATGACATTGTTCCCAAAGACACTTATCATTGATATCTGAACATATCTGAACTGAAAGTATCTTACAACTTTTAAACTGAATTCTCACCGTATTTGAAGCGCCAGCATCTTGAATCAAACTGCTGAAACAGAATTCAATCTTTCGGGCTCTGACACATATCTACACCATTTATCAAAGGTAAATTTTGTTTTTGCAGTCACATAATCATGAATTCAAAAATAGAAAGTGGATCTGGATTTTATAACCTATTTTTATAATGTTTAGAAAAACTGAACGTATTCTCGATCATTTTTGTCCGAGGAAGCACAACACTGTAATTGGAGCATCTAAAAAGCTAATGATATTTGTGTCAGTCACTGCAATGTCATCAAGCATTTTGTCAGCCAGTCATGATCATGATTTTCCAGTTTCACTGGCTTGAGATAAACGAAAAAACAGCCCAGAAAACTAACAAGAGAGAGCTTTTTGGTACTATATTTCGTCACGAAATACCGTTATAATACACATCTGCGTTTGTGTTTTGACTTTAAGCTGGTGATCTATTGAATCAGAATTGTGACATGCAGGATTCACAAACCACCTATCTTTCAAACTAATTTCATTCTTAATTTTAACTAAGAAAAAAGGGTCTATTCTTTGGAAATACTCTCTAACTTTCTTAGCTTTTTAACTTTCCAACCTTGGTCACTGAAAATTGTAAATAGGGAATTTTTAACTTGTAGTGTTTTTATCCCTGTATAGATATTCGAATTATTTCTAGATTCCGTGTCCTCAAATAGAGAAAAGCCTGTTATCAGACCTGTCGCGGCTGGTTACCGCAACGGAATTTATTTGCTTAGTTCACTTAGTTAGTCACAGTAGAGTTTTTTCAGCTCATACGGCTTTTAAATAAACTTCTAAAGGATGAATGGTTTGGAGAATATACGGAATAACTAACATCGAAATGCATCAAAATGTGTCCGCTTAAAAGAACTTCTTCAAATTTCATTAACCAACCATGACGGTGAGATAGAAATCTTTGGCTATATAGGTTTGTAAACTGTGTAGAGTATACTAGCTGGTTGTAAAGTATGTTCTGTTTTAGGCATTCCTTGTCTACCATTAAAATGCTTCAACAAGTGTTGGAGTAGCCTGCTTGAACATATGACGTGACACTGACCGCTTTCTGCTACCTCAGCTACTCGTCAGTAATATGCCAAATTTGTATGGCCCCTTTATTAAAAAAGGAGAGGAAGCGGCTATATGATTCATTGCTTTTTAAAAACGTTCCATGATTTTACGCGAAAAAAACGTACCATAAGAAGTCCATCATTACATACAGCCAGAGACTATGTTATGATATGAAAGGAAGGAAACTTATTTCAGGTTTCATTGGTTAACTGTCCCAAGTGTTCTTTGGTTTCTTTTACCAACTATAAAAGTTCCTGATACATGACTAACCTAAAAAGCAGTGAAGCGAGACGTAAATGCGTCTATGTAATGAAATTAATTAATGGTCATGTACAAGATTACCCAATTCTGATCTCGTGGTCGAGCCATATGTTTTCTGCTGAACCGTAGACCAAAGGATCTAGCCAGGATTGATATCAGTTTAAGAAGAGAGGACCCTTTTTCAGAATGAATTATTTAAGCTTAACACCTTGCTTTGGAGCTGTGCTGGGGAATCACTGTAGATTAGTTTATTAGTTTGCAATCCAGCTCTTAAGGCG